TGACGCCGGAGGGTGGTTGCTGTCCTAGCCAGGTGAAGCTTCAGTTGTGTCCAGAATGGTAAATCTCTTTTCGCGATAATTTAACTGCTCTCCAGAATAATTCTTCCTCCCTCCTCGCCCTCCCACTTCTTTTTGCATGGAGGCCGTGTGCGTATCCGTTCACATCTGCTCTGGCGTATTTCTCCAAACGCATTTCCCTCTTCCCCTTCTTTTCTCACTTGCAAATATTAAAAGTGCTTTTGATTTTTAAAATGTTAGTATCCCAAAATAGCCTTACTGGTCAAATTGACCAAAGATAAAGTGTTAAATATTTTGTAAAAAAAAAAATAAAAATAAAAAATCTTGGCATAATTTTAAACCCAAAATAAGCTCAGTTATTTATTCAGTTTTATACTATATAGAAACTAAACTACATTGAGGGGACAGGGAAGGAAAACCATGGTGGGTTGTGGTGTTTACAGTCTTTTTGAAGTCCCGTAGCTAAGACAACTATTGTTATCCATCTTCCCTTTTGCTGTTACAGTTTCTAATGTGTACTGTATGTATTAATATTGCACAAATTGTGGAGAAATATATGGTTTATTTTTCACAGCAGAATCTCACAAGACTCGCTTCCTTTACGAGTGTTACAATTTAAATATTTACCAAACTGTTTTCATAATACTGGGAGCCGGCTGCTTTTTATGAATTTGTGCTGACTATTGACATTATTTACTGTATAAATAATTTATCATTTGTACTATTGTATCATAATGTCTGTATCTTTGTGTCATTTTTCCCAAGCGATGTCACAAATGTGATATTTAATAATGCCATCAGAACAGTGGAAAGACAAGGGGTTTGTAGGTGACTGGTCAGAATTAAAATTGTATTGCTTATATTCCAGCCGTGTTGCTTTTTCAAGACTCTGCGTAGTGTTTATAATCTCATTCAAAAAATTGTCGCTGCCATGCTTGGTTGAGTTTTCGGGAGAGGTGATGGATCGATGGAGATGATTTAAGGTTTGTGCTAAAAGTCCTAGGTGCTAGGAGAAATCTAACTGTTATTGAGAGTAATGCTTCTTGTACATTGTCAATGTGATTTCTTCGGCGCCTTCATCACTTTCCTGGGGCAGGCCTGCTCTTACCGTGAGAAAGGAGGGTTTCTTATATTCACGTAAATCAGAATCAGTTGAGACCTTACTAACTCAATAAAAATGAAGACTTGGTGTGTTGCAGGTGACTGAATTGCTTCTTTAAACCACGTTACCCTTTAAACAGCGCTTTTGGAGGGATGAGCAAGTTCTGTCTCGGTGGAGGCTTCTGTATTTATGTCAAGACAGAAGTCTGGGGAAGGCGTGACTTAAAGCCACCGCTCGTGGAATAAGGGTTGGGGAGCTGTGACAAAACTGACTTTGGGCGTCCTCGCTTCCCTCCTCCTTTTTTTCTTTTCTTTTTCAGTATTTCAGTCTTGCCGTTCCCGCAGCCTTGGCTCTGTCCCATCGATCAAGCGGCCTTGCAGACGGGGTAGCGGGGAGCCTGCCTCCAGCTGGGAAGTGATTTCAGCTTCTAATTCTGGATGGTTTCAATTGAAGGGTTCTTCATTAGCAGGCTATTTCAAGAGCTACGTCTGCCGACCCCCCTCCAGGCTTCCTGTAGTCACGGTTTGCTGCCAATCAGACTGATCACTAATCAAATACTTAATTTCTTAATGCTGAAACTGCTGCGGTGCTAGAGACCTGACTATGGCAAAGGTGGACATGGCGGGGGGGAAAAAAGCATCTGTTTTGGTTTCAGGTCTGTGGTACAGAGCTGGCTGGGGCTGTTGTGCAAACCCACCGCCCCAGTAACACTCGGGTTTCCCTGCAGAGTGAGGCTGCCTCCGGTCCGGTCTTTGATTTCTTTTACTTCTGTGTTTGGGCTGGTAAGGAAAACAGAAAAATCTCCTTTGCCAGGGGTGGCAGCCCGGATACCTCCTGCTTTTTGTACCTCTCGTTTTTACAGACGGATGCTTTCTGCTCCTCTGCAGGAGGGCTCTTCTGTGCCTGTGTGTTTATTGCTCCTCTGGCCGGTCTCTCTTTTTTGCTGTGTGATCAGTACTTCTTCACTGTTTTACTCTGGCCTCTTGAAAATTGCACATTTGAAAATCCAGCTGCTCGTTACAGGAAAGATTTAGGAAGGACCCGAAGTGGAAGCTTTTGTGATGACTCTATCCTGCTCTTCAAAGGGAGCTGAATACTGCGGGCTGTTGCAAGCTGAGGGGTTGCTGGAGGGAGTCTGAGCTGATAAAGCCGGTGTGAGAGCGAGCTGGCTGCGGCTGAGCCTTCCTCTGACCTTGGGCAAGCTGCTCTCCCCCTGTCCCGGGCTTCCTCTTCCTCTTCTGTGAAGTGAGGTGGTATTTGCCTGCTTTTGCGGAGGAAAAGGGCTATCTGGATAAAGCATTATCTAGAGGCTTGCCCTCATCCGCCCTGGTATTGCCAAAGTATTTTTGCTAAATACGTACATTGCCGTTACCTCTTGTTTGTGCTGGGCCGAGTGGTGCAACTCTGCTCTTCCGCTCGTTTTCATCGAACTGTGGGAAAATGGTTTGGGCCAGCTCGTGCTACGGCTTTGGCAAGACTTCTGCAATCTACGTTTCGGGGAACCGATGTGATTTATACAGCCCCTCACGTTAAAAACTTCCGCTTTTTTCCAGTTAGCTGTCGTCCGCCTTCCAGGTAATCTCCCTGTCTTGTGAGCTGGGACACAACATGGGTTTTGTAAAGACCGGAGTTTGTTTGGGAGCTCGGGATTATAGAAGAGCCAGTGTTGTACACGGTGATAGCAATCCTGTCTCTGTGTTTTGCTGTCAATCGATTGTACCCTGTAAATTGTTGAAGACTTGGAGTTTCAGTGAGTCAAAGTTTCCTTTGGTGCTTCAGACATCTCTACCAATTACTCATTAGGACGATTAATTGGCAGCGCTCCGGTGATCAATAGGGGGTTGGCATCCTACCAGTGTAATGCAGCCCAGTGGTTTGCAGAGGTTGAAATAGTAAAGGGGGGAGCATGGTGGTACCTTGGGGGGAGATAGCGCATCCTCTGCCTTCGCTGGGGGGTACAGCCGGAGTTGTGCCAAACCTGGATTGAGCAGTGGGACCCTCGGGTATCTGGTAAACATCTCTTCGAAGAGCTTAGGGGAAAATATCTCCCTTCCCCAGTGGCTGTTTAATGGGTGGGGCAGGGAGGTGGTGCAAACTTCATTCCTAAATAAACCCGTGACCAGCAGAATTGTTAGCTGTGATGTGCATTGAAACTCTGGTCGAAAATGTTGTTGAAGTACTTTAAAAGTATTTTGTACTGGAGCGTATTCATGGCCACCGGAGAGCTGCTGTGTGCAGAGCACAGATGCAGAGGCAGGTCCACGTGCGGAGGGATGAAGGCGGCGTGTGCTGCTGGACACGGGCGAAATGCTGGGGTGGAGGGAGCGGGTATTCGACAGTCAGCAGTGGCCCTTCGGCACACACGTATAAAAGCAGCCGGGACACGCTACCTGATCTGATCTCAACACTTGCTGAGCAAACGAGTTCCCATTCTCGGGTGAAGGAAAATCAATGACATTTCAAATAGCTGGAATAAAGCCATAGGAAAGCTGGGGTTTGTCTTCTCAGCTCCCTGCCTGCTGCTGCCTGACATGGAATCTCACCAGGACATCGCTGCTGCCAGCTTTACGGTTTGATTGCTTCAATATGCTCTGGGAGAGCCTCACAAGCAGGTATGGCATTGTGGTTTTAAGCCCTGTTTAAACACGATGTGCTGGAGCTGCTGTAGATCAGATCAGAGCTTGATCCAGCCCGGGGCCCTGTTGCTGGCAGGAGAAACCTTCCTGGGGCAAAGGCATTGCATTTGGTAGTCACCGATAACCCCATAACCTGATAGCCCCGTCGGGAAACCACTGGCCCTGCCGGCCTCCGTGCCAGCCGGTGGGAGCTCGCTGCACGGCCGAGTTAGGCAGGGCTGGAGGAGAACTTCACGCTGGGCCTGGGGAGTGGATGGAGGCGAGGGCTGAGCAGCCTCCGTGGGATGCTGACTCAGCGTGGACTTGTCCCACCAGCCCTGCTATCGCAAACCCACGTGGGATTCCCCATAGCGCTGTGGCTGAACCACCTCTAGTCATTTCTAAGATGGAAAACTCATCAGACGCCTGCCTTCTGCCCCAACGGATGGGAACGTGGAACCTGTGAAAATCAGGCAATGGGGTCCGTGTTCTTCTTGAAGTCCTTTTTGGCCGAGGAGTGAAATTTGGTTGTTTAACCATGCTGAAGGGAGCCGGTTCTGGCGTGGTGTAACAGCACATATGGCCTCGGAGACCGTGGGCTGGCTGGGGTTGTGTTGGGTGATGGCGGTGGGTGGGTTTTTTGCCTTTTTAAATGTCTTCATTAGCAAGTCTGGCACTAAAAGTAGTGATATTCTCTGAGGTGAATTTGGGTACTTAAATATCTTGGCCTGAATAGAGGTGTAAAAATAGAAGCCTACAGCAGTTACATGCTTCTGCTGATCTTCCCTCTGAAGGACGAGCGACTGAATCACACCCTGCCGTGAAAGCCCGTTGCCTTGCACCCTCGCTTCTCTGCAGCCCCTCTCCTGAGGTCTCGGGCCCGGTTTCGGTGGCCAAAGGTTGGTTTCCAACAGGATTTGCGCTGTGAAGATGGCCAGGCACTGGCAATCTGTTGTCTGAAGCCTAGCCCTCGTAACCCGCCGTCCTTGTGCTCCGCAGCCTCTGTTAGGCTGCAGCGGAGGGTGCTGGGTGCTCGGTGCTGGGTGCTCTCTGCAGGCTGGCGGGAGCTGCGGTTTTAGGGGGGGGGATGTTTTTTTCCTTCCTGTCCTCCAAAAGCAGAGGTGGTTTCTGGGTTTGCAAACACCCATGAGTGCCTCGGCTCTTGGGGTTTGAGCTCGCTCCAGAGGACTTCCCAGCTGATGGAAAAAACCCCCTGCAGCACGCACCCCGTGGATGAACGGCGAGAGGAGGAGAGGGGCTCAACGTCCCTTGCTGGGGTGCGGGCTGGGCGGCCTTTGCTCAGGGGGGTTTGCATGGCCTGGAAGACACCCCAAATTTCTGGTGGTGCCTGCTCCGGCCATGCCGCTGGGTCTCTGGCTGGGCTGGGTGGTGGGTGCAGGAGTGGGGGGGATTCATAGTGTTCTCGGGGGCTTGGTTCCTTGGGCATGTTTGAGGGGCACCCTGGAGATGTCCTGTGTGGGCTCTGCCGCAGCCACCCGCTCGTCCAGTTTCTGCTGGGTGCCCCCAGACGAAAGGGGAAAGGCCCAGAGGTAGGTGGTTCTTGTTGGTGCTCTTGGGTGCTGGTGGGGCCTGATGTCCCCAGACATCCCCCTGTGCCTGCCCGGTCGCAGACGCGGGCTCCGTGCTGCAGCTGTGGGTGCAAGCCCGGCTCTGTCACCGCTGATGCCGTTTGTTCTGTGTAACCCCCATTTCCCACCCAGGCTGAGCTGTCCCATCCTCCCGTTACCCCCCCAGACCCGTGTCCAGGACTGCGGATCCAGGACGTTAACCCCCCCGTACCTGCAGGCAGCAGGTGCTGGCACGATGCTCCAGTGACCTTGGCACAAATGGGTCATCCTGGGGCTGGTCTGTGATGGGCTGAAACGCTGACAGCGATGAGCCTAGGCAGAGTTGGAGCTGAAGCTCCAATTTTTTCCAAATCTGGCTGTTCTGTGCTTCTGTGTTTTATTTTCCTTTTTCTTTTTTTTCCTCCTTGGTGTATTTCACAGGAGGCTCCTGCTCCTAAACCGTCAGCTTTAATCCATCTGCAAGACTCTCATTTTTCAGAAGGAGATAACTTCTAGCTGCTGCAATACCGCTGTTGTAAAATAGCCTTGCTAGCCTCAGGACAAAGCCGATTTCCCGAGCGCCCATCGATGGACAGATTTCTGTCTCGGTCCCGCTCCCCGCGGGGCAGCTCGGGCGGCTCCTGGCACTGGGAGCATTCGCCCCGTCCTCCCCGGACAAGGGGCAGCGGCGGGGCAGTCGGCATCATCGCATTGAGCAATATCTGCATAGGAACAGGAAAAACTTGGGTGTCTTTCATGCAACCTTGTTAGCTAATTGTTATTGGCGACCTCCCACACCTTTCTAAAGGTTGAAAACTGCCACGAGAGGGCAGGAGCTGATGCTGCTATTTCCAGTTTTGGTAGAAAAGGCTGCAAATACCAGTTCCTAAAGACTACCCAAATGATTTTCCTTTTTCTGGAGGCTTTGATTCCCAAGCTGCTGTTCTGTCCGTGTCCTTGGCTGTCACCCTCCCAGGGTGGCTTCCACGGTGACGGCAGGAAAACTCTCCCACGAAGTGAGCACGGTCCTGTGGGCAGCCCCCTCCAAAGCCCCCCCCGAGTGGGAGAGCAGAGGGCTTCTGCAAAGCCCCCAGCTACCGCTCAGCCTTCATTCGCCTCGGGCGGGTCTCATGCTGTTTTGGTGGCCTTGAAGCCTCATCCTGTGGCAGGACACACATTCTCAATAAAAGTGTTGGTTTTTTTTTTTTTTCCCTGCCAGTTTTGAATTAGGAGGTTAATGGCCAATTTTACCGGGAGAGACTTAAGTGTAATAAACCAGGAGCTACCGGGCCAGCTGACAACCTCGTGCTGTCATCTGTGCTACAAGGGGTTGGGAACTTCAGTTTTGAATGAAAGGGAGAAGGATTCACTAGTGCAGGAGCAGGGTGGTTACGGCTGCCTGGAGAGTGGGTGAAAGGGAATTACCTTGAGCCTCCGCTATAGCTGGGTTTTGGCTGTTCTCAAAGCATGGCTTCTTTTAACCTTTAACACTAACTGCAACAAACAGGAGTCATAAATCCCTGCTTTATTAACGTCACCTGCTCTGGGCAGCACAGTGTCATGTCTATCTTTCCTCCTCTGTCATGACAGCGGAGATTCTCTCCAGGGTGAAACAGCTGCAAACACTCTGCCATGCCTGAGTACCAAAGACTTAAACCAGAGTTGGCTTTCCAGAAAATTAAAACGGCAGCAGCAAGCTTGTCTCTGGGAGAAGAGCGTGTTTATGAGAGATATCAACAGTTGTCTCTCGGAACAAAGGAACGGCATTGAACTCGGGGAAACACTTACTGAAAACATCACCCCCACATGTGCCCTTGTCTAAGGAGGAAACGCTGTCGGACCGAAAAGCTCCCGCAGTGAAGCGCTCACAAGCTAAGGACGTGAAGGCCTTGAAGAAGGTACGTGAAGTTCTTAACAAGCATGCTCGAGACACTGAGGAATCAAAAAAAAAAAAACCCACATCAAAACCCAACCAAACCCAGAGACACTGTGCAAAAAGCCCCAATAATGCAGGTAGCAGTGTGGGCTCTGCTTATAGAGTCACGTATCTTAAATCCTGTTCTATAGAGTTTGGGATTTTTATTTTTTTTAAACCCTTGCTTTTTACTGTTGTCTTTTAACCTTTCTTCTGAGGGTCCCTGCAGCTTGGCTGTGAACGGTGAAGCTGAGCGACCGCACATGTGGGTTTTGATCGGTCTCAGTGCGGTTTGAAACAGGAGCAATTCAGGAGATCGGTCGTAGCACCACGCTGCAAAGCTGTGTGTGAATAAATTCACTGCACCCCTGTGGGCACGAAGTTTGGGCTTTATCTGGGTTTAACAGCTTTCTCATGACTAGAAACTCTGTCAGGCAGTTTTGCTCTAATTGGAATGGGGGCAGGTAACTGTGCTCAAGGGAAAAAAGATATTTAAGCGGTAGTAGGTTTAATGTTTGCCTTTCAAGAATTTCAGATGTAGATATTTATCCTGCTACTGTAGCTAACCGCTTCCCAAATACTTTTGAAAAAGAAACAAAATTCCTTGCATCTCCTCTGAGCCAACAGGAAATACTTATTAGTTTGGATTCCAACATGACTCAGTTCAGAGATTACAACAGTTGCCAAAACAACTGGCGGAGGAGCTTACTGGAAGTGGAAAATCAACAAAAGATAGGAAAAAAGTAAGAGCTGAAAAATCATCTGTAACCACATTTGGAAAAGTATTTCTAAATAGTAGAAGAGTTGCTAATGTTCACAGCAAAATTACAGTGATCACATTATCTTTTCAGAAATTATATTTATTCAATCAGACTGCTCAGCATGAAATATTAACTATCTCTAACCGGATGCTTTCTTTGACTTTTTTTTTTGTTTTACATGTCCTGGAGGCTCTGCAGTTGAAGACTGTGTTATTACTTGTATTTCTACAGTCTCAAGGTCCTGGTCGTTCACTTACAGGGTGGTACCGTGTTAAGTCATTCTCACAGTCATCTCTGGGTATTTGCAGTCAAACACAAGAGATTACAGGCCCAAATTTAAATATGAAAATGACTAAGCAATTAGTCATTTCATTGTAGCATACACTTCTTTCTCTTGTACCTGTAAGAATAGCAGATCTTGGATGATTTAGGACTTAGAAACGCCCATCCTGGCACAAACAGATAAAACCCCTAGCAGTACAAAGACAAATATATTTAGATAACTGGGTTTATTCACCCTAAAAGAAGAGCGCTAACATTAGCTTAGAGGGGGATTCACGGAAAGGCTCCTGTGCAGCACAGTGCCTCTGGTACCTGACTTGGAGCTAAATGCTGCTTATGGCTGCACGCTGGCTTACGGAGACTCTACTTGCTTTGCAGAGCCTTCTCTAAAGTTTATTTTTTTTTTTAGTCAATCTCTGCACTTAAAATGCAATTTGTTCTACCAAAAGTTAAAACCATGCAGCAAGGATATGTTTAACACCATGGTCTCTCTAACTCCTCTAAAATAAACTGCTGTCCTTTTTTTTTTTTTTTTGCTTTCTGAAGCTCGACGCAGAAATAAAATCTGGAAATGGAAGAGTCATCATCTTGTTCCAAATGTAAAAGCCCAGGTTGCTTCACTGAAAAATGTGGAAAGGTTTGTTTCTACAGTGTATGAGCTATTTTAATTAGTTGCACAAACTTTAAAGGACTATGTGGATTATAAAGAAAACTGCTGTTGCTTTTGCAGAGGGAAGCACATGGCACAGAGAAGCGCGTTAGCACTTCACTGGAACGTTTCCATATTCCCTCCTTTTTGGAATGTGCAGTAATTTCAATTTCCCATTTCTACCACAAAAAACATTAGTAAAAAGAACTAGGCTTGCAATGATGTTTTAGACACAGGCAAACTGCTACAATTATGAACTTTCCTATTCTTTAAGTATATAAAAAGTGTACAAAAGGCTGTTATAAAAATAGTCTGTTACAGGTCTTATTTTGAGATAGTCTGATATTACTCATAAAAATGCTAAATATTATCTGATGACATTAATTTACATAATACTTCAACCTGTATGCTTACTGAAGAGATTATACTTAGGTAATTATTCCAATGCCTCATGGGCTTGTGTTTCTTCTGGAATAACGGTCTCAAGTGAGATTTTCTCAGTTTAGTCAGATACCTGTTGCCCTTTGCCGCAAAAAGCCCTCAAGTGCTTAAAGTCTCTGTGAGCCGTTGAACATCTCACGCCTGTGTTCAATACTTTTGAATCCCTTCTGTAAGAGGCACCAGAGAAGGGTTCTGCATGTTGCTTGGGCTCACGTCGTAGCCCAACTTCTTCATATCTTTGGTCACTACGTTGAAAGAAATGGTCACAAAGCCTTGAGATCGCACCCTTGTTACTAGAAGAAAGAAAAAGTGAATAAGACTAATTAGGAGAGGTTTTTGAATAGTTGGTGAAATCCTCACGTATCCAGGCAGGACTGTTCTCAGCAGGAACAACCAGTCTTTTTTAAAAACAGAAGATGGATGGCCAAGCTGCGGCCTGCTGTCGTGCAAAGGTTGCAGTCCGGAGCTCCCAGGGACTTACCTTCTCTTCCTTCTCCCTGCGCTACCACTTTGGGGTCAGTAAATTCTGGGCGTCTCCCTGTGAACCAGCTTGGAGAAGAAAATAGAAAATAATTAATTGGATACATTCACTAGTGTTTAGATTTGATACAGTTCATTATATGCACGTTAAAAAAAAAAAAACAAAGGGGGAGTTTAATGAGACTCCCAGCTTTTGTTTGCAGTGGAGAGTTTTGATTCACTCTATTGCTGATCTACTTTGACCAAAGATCAGTTTTGTCTCTCTAAGGAAAAAAAATGAAAGCAATTTCATACGCATTATGTTAAATCCAAGTTATTTCTGGGCTAGATAGAATCTTTCTATGGCAAAGATATTTTTGAAACTGATTCAACTCTCAATTACCCAGACTAATAGAGAGGCTTGGATACTTTGAATACATCAGAGGTGCACGTAATACAAAAGTATACAAATTAGAGTGTAGATTCTACAAAAGGGCATCATAAAGAGACGAAAAGTAAATCAGTTGAACCCTGACTGTCGGGCACAGAGGTTCCCACGCTGACTCTGACCCAAAGTGCTCAAGTACCACAAGGCTGGCTCTGCACGAGGGTAGGCTCCGTTGGTACAGGCAATCCACAGCCAACCAGCTCGCAGACCATACAGACTGTACTTAAACAATACAAGGGAAGGAAAAAAGCTTAATGCCCTCAGCTGCTGTGTATAGACTGCTACTTTGGAAGGGATGCGTGGGTGTAAATAAGACAAAGGTTACAGCAAATACATTCCAGATGGAACAAAAGGTAGAACTGGGAATTGTTTTGCCATGTTCTGCCTTTGCTTTCCAGGTTGCTCTTAATGCGGCTATCCTTCCAGAAAAGCCCCTAGCTACAGTAAGATTTAGGGATGGACTGCAGCACTCCTCCTTGGAGTCTGGTGACACCTAAAATGCTCACTAAATCTAGTCCAAGTAGTGCCTCCTCAAGTCCCATCGCTGACACGAGTCAACCTGTGGAATATGGAGCTCCCACTCAGTAGAAGAACTCCTGTATCGGTCCGCTCTGCTGAAATCTGTTCTTTTTCAAACCAACAGCGTTCAAATGTGAGGATGAAAAAAAGACAAGTGAGCATTACTGCAAGCAGGTAGTTAATGTGACTTTAAAAAGCTCTCCAAAAGACCTGGACACCTAAAAACGTGATTTGGCCTACAAAACTCAGAACTATCTGGTTATGATACAAAGTATTCATACATTTGCACCAGTGAGTACCCGGATATACCCTTCTGACTAAGAGCAAGAAGTACTTTAAAAAAAAAAAAAGGTCCTTAATTATTACCTTGTAAACTGCTGCAGCCTAGATGTGGACTCTGGAACAAACATAGCGATGGTTCTTGTATGCCTAAAACAAACATGAGAGGCACAGAACTTAAGAAATGAACCAAACAGCACTGGCAAGAGTTCTTATATTTATAACGGTACCAGAATTTCAGATGCGTCAGACCACTCAACATCTCAAAGTGTACTACTTCCCCTTCCACAAAGGGTTTGTTTGCACAGGAAGAACGTATCTTCCCCCATTTCCAATGGTGGGAATGAAAGCTTAGCATCTGCTGAGAGTGATGGGGGAGAGGTAACGAACCGCGCTTCATACTTGGGCTTTCTACATGCCAGCTTTGACTTTACAGTTGTCTACAGGCTTACCAAAAACTATTTGATAACCAGGGGCTGCTGCTAGAAAATCCATGCTCTTTGTACTAGACAAGGTAAGGAGATATGGGAACATTTTTGTTTCTGAAACAACATAGTAACTGGAAAAAAAAAAATCTCCGTTTCAGTTGTGAAAGACAGGTTGTCACCTCACCTTCCGGGTGTGAGGGGAACATGAACAGCTCCATAACCTCTGACCACATCATTTCCAAAAAAGTCAGGTCCGTAGACGCTCACTACAATCTGTGGCCCTGCAAATGAAGTGCGTGTGAGAGGGGTGCCTGGTCTGCAAGCTGAATCCCACCGCCCCCAGCACTCACAGCCGGATGGGTTGGTGCTCTTGAAGGTAATGTCGATGGGGAAGTTCCAGATGAGAGTGCTGGGAGCGACGTCGCTCTTGGAGGTGATCTGGGAGATGCCCTCCTCCAGGCCCTGTGGGGAGAATGTGGCATGAGCCAGGGGCCTGCACTGAGCCCACTACACGCACGCTGCCGGCGGGCCTGCCAGGCAGGCTGGGTTTCAGGGGTGCACAATGGGGCCTTACCGCTGTGGGAACCCAGTCTTGGCCATAGACGAAGCAGAACTTGCAGTAGAGATCGTCAAATCCGGGGAACTGTGGGAGAGAGAGCCTGTGTTGGTGGGGGTTACTGGGACCGAGGGGCTGCCCAAGTCCCGGTGCTGGGGGCAGCCTGCTCCACCATGACAGAGCCAGCCCGCGCTGCTCG